AAGCACAATTGCGCGTGATTTTGTTCCGTCGCACACATTTCGCACACACACAGAGCTGTGGAACAAAAAAAACTTAAAATTAGGCCCAAGCCCACATCACAGCGCCGCGCCACCGCGGGAAGAATTTCCGGTGACGACACTCCGAGAAACGAGGTACCTCTCGCAAACGCTCGTGACGTCAGCTTGGCGGGAATTTGAACGACTAATAGGTGTCTCGGTTTTTTGAATTTTTCTACAAAACAAACTCTTATTTCTCGTTCTTTTCTTTCTCATGGTGACCTATGGGACTCAAGTCAGTGTTTCATGGGAGAAATAGGATCATGATTTTTCCGCGCAGGATTCCTTTAACGGCGTGCAAGTAAAAAGTGATCTGCGGACACTAAACACTACTTTCCAGTGTACCAGTTCCGCCTAAATTTCGATGTTAATAAAGAGATTAGGGGCAACAAAAGCACTGTGGAATTTCAGGAAATACTCGCGGATGCCTCGTATGTGTTCACGAACTCAAACCCGTACCTCGACTATCCTCGTCCAATGCTCCACAAGACAGTTCCACTGGGCGGAGTTGCTGTCCATATCGATCCCAAAAAGAATGTTTTGTCAAAGGTATCAGTTACCGCTCGATTGGTCCTTTCTGTGAAGATCTTTTCAATAATTCCTCAATATTGAAGGAATGGAATAGCGTGTTGAGTGAGAGAAACACCACCGTACTGGTCTCATTCGGTTCAGTGGCCAAATCTATCTACATGCCAGATGAGTACAGGTGAGTTCATGAATGAAAAGGCTATGGTCGTCACAAAACCACCTCACATGTTTACCTGCAATGAGGCAATTCCAAATTTAAGGAAAACGTTACTGGAAGTTTTTGAAAGCATGCCTGATACTACCTTCATATGGAAATACGAAGCCGAAGGTTCACAGAATAGCGGCTCACCTCAAGAATGTTCATCTCAGCACTTGGGTGCCACAGAACGCTCTTCCTTGGTAAGCAAAATTGAGCTGTAAACAGAAGAATGAAAATGAAAAGAATGACGAATGCCTTGAAAGCTTTCCTCCCTTCGTTTAAGCGTTTCGCATTTGTTGCGTTCTCTGGTGACCTCTTTCTTGCACTTCTGTGAAATATTGTTATTTTTCTCTTCTATTGACCCCCCGGCTCCCCGCGAAAGGGGTCAATTACAAGCGCCGAAGCCTATTTACCCCACTGAGATATTACAGCATCCCTTACAACGCCAGCTGTCTTTAATTCCGAATTTGGTCTATCTAATGAATATGGAGCCGGCCCTAGCAA